GAGGGCGTGGCCAGCTTGATGCCACTCACTGGATATGGCCAACTGGGGGCATAGCCAACTGGGTGGGCATGGCCAACTTAACGCCACTCACTGGATATGGCCAACTGGTTAAGCATGACTGACTGCATGGGTGTGGCCAGCTTGATGCCACTCACTGGATATGGCCAACTGGGTGGGCGTGGCCAACTGGGTGGGCATGGCCAGTTTGACACCACTCACTGGATATGGCCAACTGGTTAGGCGTGACTGACTGTGGGTGTGGCCAGCTTGACGCTACTCACTGGATATGGCCAACTGGGTGGGTGTGGGTGACTGGGTGGGCGTGGCCAACTGGGTGGGCATGGCCGGCTTGACGCTACTCACTGGATATGGCCAACTGGGTGGGTGTGGGTGACTGGGTGGGCGTGGCCAACTGGGTGGGCATGGCCGGCTTGACGCCACTCACTGGATATGGCCAACTGGGTGGGTGTGGGCGACTGGGTGGGCGTGGCTAGCTTGATGCCACTCCCCAAATTGCTGGCCAGGTGTTTCCTCTTTGCATTGGCTCGGCCGGGCCGAAGCGACGCAGGCCGGCCCTTTGCATTTTCCAGGATGGCCTTGCAGGCCGGATCTGACCACATGACAGGCCGGATTTGGCCCACAGGCCTTGTGTGTTTGACTCCCCTGGCTTATGGTCACAAATTGGGACCAGAATCTCCATCACTAAAGCAATGTGGTTGTTAAGCGAGCCGTGCATGTTTATTTTATTTATTTTTCACTTTTTACTGTTTTACCCCCAACGGCCACATACCAGAGCTGGGATGGTGACTCATAGCTAGCATGGCTGTGGATGTGCGCGGTGTGCTGTCGGAGGAGGAGGAGGAGGAAGGGAAGCGGCGAGTGTGGCACTCCACCTCCACCTGGTTCTTGCAGTGTTTGTGACAGATCATGGCACAATCTAGAGAGAATCACAACAACAACAACAACAACAACAAAAGGGGGCTTCAAATCAAAGCAGTGAGAAGATGAATTGTTACCCCGCCCCCAATGGCTCCTGCTCCCAGCCTTCTCCAACCTGGTACTACAACACCCATGGGGCTGGGTCAAGGCACTTTTACTGCTTCAGTACTAAGGATACACATACACAAATACACTTTAAGGGACTGCCCAAATACACAATTTTCCTCCCAATGCAGGAACGTCACTTAAGGAGGGGTCAAACTCCAAATAAGGATGAGATGAGGTCAGGAGAACATTCAACTATGATTTCCGTTAAGATTTCTAAAATTTAATAGCTGGAGCAGCAGAGTTGTACAGTGGTTCACAGTTGTGGTTCATTGGTACACGAATATTGTTTTTATACTCTGCCTTTTTTCCCCCTGTGTATGTGTAATTTACCTCACGATGTTCCTGCAGTGTTGATTTACCTCAGGATGCGCCTGTTTGCCTGATTATCTAGTTTGGTGTACATGCAGATTGCAAATATATTTATTTATATTTAAAACTACAAGCTGGTGTCGGCATCTATGGCTTTCATTTGGACACCGGCTGACAAAAAAGATGAATTTTCAGTTATTCTTAGCGTTGTTCTCAGTTATATATTCAGTTATTGTTAGCGTTATTCTCCAGCTCACTATCGACTCCTGGGTGCTCTAGTTGGTAGGTTTTTGTTGCGGATGTTTCATTACCAAACTAGGTAACATCATCAGTGCCAGAAGAGGGTGGGGATTGTGGAGAGGAGGAGGAGAGGAGGAGGGGGAGGAAGAGGAGGAGGAAGAAGAGGACAACGACTGTGGGGGTCCTTGGTGCTCTCTGAGCTTGCTTGTTTTCTTGCAGACGTTTCATTACCAAACTAGGTAACATCATCAGTGCTAGAAGGGAGTGGTGTTTGTGGGGAGTGGGAGGAGGAAGAGGAGGAGGAAGAAGAGGACAACGACTGTGTGCTCCTTGGTGCTCTCTGAGCTTGGTTGCTTTCTTGCGGACGTTTCATTACCGAACTAGGTAACATCATCAGTGCCAGAGGGATGTGGGGTTTGCTACAAACCCTAACCCCATTTAAGACCCAATGGCAGCTATCCCAATTCGTTCCACCCCCCCCAAAAAAAACCCTCCTCGAAAAGCAATTGTGCTGGCCCACAGAGCCCAGCAGAGGGCGCACTCACCCCTGCATCGGTATCCCTGCTTGGAGACTCCCCACAGCTACATCAGGAAAGGAAGAAGACAAATTAGGCCATTTTAGGTTGCAGCAAACACATCTGGACAATGCAAACAGATCCGTGAGCATCCCCAGCCATTTCTTGCACTAACAGATATTTAACTTTCATTTCATCTCCTTTGTCGCTTCCTTTCTCAGGTTTTATAGAGTCGGCCGCCTCAAATGTTTTATTAGAGAGGTTTCTTTGTTTGGTTGTCTGCAGTCCTCAGAGTTGGCTTTCCAACAGCAGGAGGGTGAATGGCTGGGGAATTCTGGGAGTTGTAGTCCCCATCTCTTAATTTGCTACGCGTGAGGAGCAGCGTTGTAGAACAATGTTTGTGCACGTGCAAAGCAGCTAGATAACGGGACTAAAGCATCCTTGATCATACTCTGGCCTCCAATCACTCTTCTTCTTTAAAAAAAAAAAAGCATGTTCCTAGTCCTGATGGAGGACCTAGAAGGCTGAGAGACTAGCAGGGCGGATAGTTCTGGAGAGAACTACTTAAATAGGCAGACTAAAACATGTGAAGAACCGTTGCAGGAATTGGGTATGTCTAGTTTAATGAAAAGAAGGACTAGGGGTGACATGTTAGCAGTCTTCCAATATCTCAGGGGCTGCCCCAAAGAAGAAGGAGTCAAGCTATTCTCCAAAGCACCAGAAGGCAGGACAAGAAGCAACGGGTGGAAACTAATCAAGGAGAGAAGCAACTTAGAACTAAGGAGGAATTTCCTGACAGGGAGAACAACGAATCAGTGGAACCGTCAACTTAGAAAGCATTTCTATGGCCGTTTTATAGTTGCCAACAGAAAGGGAGGGGGGGGAAAGGGGTTTGAAAGAGCAGTGCGGCAGCTTGGAAATCAAAAGTGCATTCCGTGCATAGTTTTTCAAAGATAGTAACTAGGGGACTGGAGTTTCTGCCGTGCAAAATTCTAACTGGAGAGCATGATTGATGACTCTGGGCTATGGATGACTCTCGTTGGAGAATATGAATTACGATACACCCAGGGGGTGGGGTGGGGGGGAAAACCAGGGTCACGGATGTCTCAGAGTCAGCTACACCCAGGCAGTGCTGACATGTTAACTCCCAATAAATCCTGTTTAGTTTTGGGAGTTTGGCTCATGATTTAATTGGGGTAACTGCCGGAAGTTGTGGGTGCTCCAACACTGGAGGTTTTTAAGAAGAGATTGGACATCCATGGAGGCCTCTGTGGTGCAGTGGTTAGAGTGCAGTACTGCAAGCTACTTCTGCAGCCAGCTGCCTATAATTTGGCAGTTCAAATCCCACCAGGCTCAAGGTTGACTCAGCCTGCCGTCCTTCCGAGGTGGGTAAAATGAGGAGCCAGATTGTTGAGGGCAAGAGGCTGACTCTGTAAACCGCTTAGAGAGGGCTATAAAGCACTATAAAAAGGTATATAAGTCGAAGTGCTATTGCTATTTGTCTGAAATTGTACAGGGTGTCCTGCCTGAGCAGTGGGTTGGACTAGAAGACCTCCAAGGTCCCTTCCAACTGGGAGGAGGAGGAAGACGAGCAGGAGGATAAGAGTCTAGCTGCACAATTTCCCTTTCACCACTACTGGCTTCAGGGTACGGGTGCCAATTCTGGGCAACCCCTTCAGTTTTTATTTCTTAAGTTGTGCAAAAACATCTCTTGATATTATATTTCCAGTGGTCATTTCTGCCAATGGTGTGTGTGTGTGTGTGTGTGTGTGTGTATGTCACAGAAAAGGTGTGTAAACTTACAAAGCCACCGCAGTGGTCGCAGAAAGTGGGTTTCTTAAAGGTGACCTCTTGGAAATCGTGCAAAACCATGAGGCCCAGCTTGGAGAAGATGGCGCAGGCCCTCATGAAGTACTCCGACAGGTCGTCTCGGTTGCAGGTTCCTTCCCTGGGATAAAGAGAGGCAGTTTGGTCCAGTGGTTAAGGCTAGAAACTGGGAGCTGGTGAGTTCTAGTTCCACCGTGGCCATGAAAGCCAGTTGTCCAATCACCAGGTCAAGGTGAGCTCCAGCCCTGCCTTAGATATGAAAGCATTTCAACGAGACGCTCTACGTCAGTGATGACTAACCTTTTGGGGCTCCTGTGCCAAAAATTGTGCGCGCGCCAGCGCACATGCAGTTACATGCCAGCACCCAGAATGTAATGCGTGCCCCACACCCCCTGCGCATGCATGCGCAATCCCCCATGCCCTCCCCTTACCTGCACTGCGCCTCATGGCTGATTTTTCAGCGGTTTGAGGCCTTTTTCAGCCTCCCAGAGGCTTGGAAAAAAGCCTCTGCAAGGCTTTTCAGGTGGAATAATAGGCCTGTTTCATCACTGCCGGTAATACAGGAAGTGATGAAATGGGCCTATGATTAGACCTGAAAACACTTGCAGAGGCTTTTTCCAAGCTTCTGGGAGGCCGAAAAAGGCCTCAAACCAGCCGAAAAAATCAGTTGTGAGATGCGCGCATGCGCAGTGCAGGTAAGTTTGCCTGCGGCTCGCGTGCCGGCACAAATGGCTCTGCATGCCACTTGTGGCACGCGTGCCATAGGTTTGCCATCGCGGCCCTAGGTTTTCCACTTTACGGCAACCTAGCCGGATCTCCTTTCCATGCAGCCAAAGGTAGGCCTCAAAACTTTTAGCAACGGGTTTCTCTGCCTGGTTGCTAGGTGGGTGTGGCCATGGTGGGCGTAGCCTAGTCGGCCTCCTGCACCACGGCGGGAGGGGGGCGTTTTTGCCCTCCCCAGGCTCTGGAGGTTTTTCTCAAGCCTCCGGGAGGGTAAAAAGGGCCTCCCCAGGCTCCGGAGCCGCTCTGGAAGCCAGAAATGGGCCCATTTCCGGCCTTCCTGAATTTCCAGGAGGCCAGTTTTTCACCCCTCTCTGAGCCTCTGCGTGCCTCCTCCGCTTACCTGCGCCTGAAAGAGGCCGCATGGAGACTCCTGGGAGGGGAGGGGAGGGGAGGGGAGGGGCGGGATGGGCAGGGCCAGCCAGGAGTGGGATTTGGGGGTTCTCCAAATTGCACAGAATCTTAGCGAGGGGCGAACCCCCAGCAGAACCACCCTTGCAGGCAACCCCGGTGCTTACCGTTCTCTTTCCAGGCCGTAGAAGGAGAACGGGAAACTCATAGATATGGTCTCAAAATCTTCCTGAGAGATGCAACCCCGTTGGTCAGGGTCGTAATTCTTGAACACGGACTGTTGGAAAAAGAGAAGGGTAGAAACGCAGCCAGGGAGACACAAACACCTACAGAGGAATTTATTGACTAAGTAGCTTGATACCTGTGTGCTTCACTTCGAAACTAGGGGCTTAGTTTTGGGGGAGGAAAATAAAGGGGAGGGGAAATTCTGCCTCTGCCTGCCAGCATCCATTGGTATTCATCTGGCTAGCGTTCTGTCAGTGTGTGAGAGAGCTGAGGGCTGTTTGGAAACTGAAATAGTATTTTCGGTGTGAGCAAGAAGGAGACAGCGAGGAGCCTGGGCGTGGCTTAGCTCAACTGTTCAGTACTCAAGCTGCTTGGTGCTGTGAAACTGAAACTGAAACTCCTCTGCTTTGCATTTGGAACAGATTTCTTTTCAGGTGGGGAGGGAGAATAGAACTCCTTAGCATCAGAGTGTGTTAATAATAATAATAATACAGGAAATACTAATGTTCTGATGGTCATTTTGAAGAATCCTTTCTTAGTGAGCCCCTAGAAGCCAAGAGGAAGATA